GGAAATCAAATTTGTACAAAATAGGTAATTGGAGATTTTAAGATTGCTTTTTAATTTGCTATTCCTTGAGGATCTGTTGTGAATGCACATAAACATTTGTGTCTTCAGCATTCGCATCTGGGCAGTTACACATTCAATTATGAACTATTTATAGGGAATTATTTTGAGAAAAAGAGTTGTTCTTTAATCTGAGACTTAATGTATATCACAGCAAGAAATTCAAGGTTTGTCTATTTTTTTTTACTTCCTGATACTTAAATAAGAGAAGAGAAACTGAGTGTTTCGCACTGGCTACTGATTTAAAGAGAAGGGGCTTGAAATACAGTCTAGAATCTTGAACTTTGGGGAAGGGCTTCACTACTTTGAGAGAGAAAGGGAATGACTCCTCTAGGAAATGCTGAATATTAGTATAAAAGAAACATATCCAGTAATGCTAAACAGACTTGTATGAATGGTGAAAAACTGACAACAAATTGGGTATTCTGCATTGCAAGGTGACAAGTGCTTTTTTCTTTTTGTTTGTGATTTTGTGTTGGCATATCTGCAAAGATTTCTTTTTTAACCTGCCTTATAAATTCACTTGCATGTAACATTCAGTGAAATGCCTTCCGAGTTTATAGTGCCACTTAAAAAATAGATAGTCAGACTGGATGTTTTGTTGTATTTTGGTTTGTTTGCTTTCTAAAAACCAACATAAACCATCAGGTTCTGCTACATCATCCAGAACAAGATGACCATCTTCCTTTGGCTCTCATGGATGACACTTGCGAAAACTGCAAAGTTCCCAAGTATTTTGACAGGATTTTTTTTCCCTCCACATCTAGTAAAAAGCTATGCATTAAAAGCTTGAAAGTGTTAGGATACTTACTTGAGATTTTCACAAGTAATCAACCTTGTAATGGCCAAGTGCCCTTCTCATTCATGCTTGTGTGTCTCAAAGCAAGTATCATCATCAGAAAATTCGGGTCAGCAGGGATTTCAGGAAGTCACCTAGTCCAACCTCCTGCTCCAACCATATGTTAACGTTTCCATTTTACAATTCAGGCAGCTAAGGTACAGGCTTTTAAGTGCCTTTTTGTGTGGCTTCATGCAGATAATCCACCTAATGAAGGAGTCGAGCTCCCCTTTTCTGTAACTGCAAGATCATCCTTCCTTGGAGGGATGGGTATTTTTTCCCCAACAAGGTGGAAAAGAGAATGAATAAATATCTTTAATGCCTTCCTAAGACTAATTGTGACACCAGTTGTGAGCATGAGATACTTAAGATGATAGGAAATATGTTCCTTTGCAACCGTGTCTTCTAAAATTGTTCATTGTTCCTGTATTTTGTTGTGAACAGATAAATTATCATATTATGTTGTTGCATGTTTTCAGACATGCAGGTTGAGCTGCTGCATTAGCAGAATTAGAGAATGAAGTAGAAAACAAACTTAAGAGTCTAAATTTGATAGGATGATAGACATCTTGGTTACTGTTGCTACAGTCCTGAGGACAAGTTTAAGTTTCCCTTTTAACTTGAGGTGATTTATTGGTCCATTTGTCTACACAGGACAGGAAGGGCGCTAAACCCTTTGCTTGGAGATCGTACTAAATATTTGTTACTGCAATGAGGGGAATGCCCAGTCTCTCTTCCTCTTCAGCACAGTTTGATCTCTGAAGTCATGTTCTCTGAGAAGTGAGAGTCCAGGCATTTGATGTTCTCCTGCCTCTTTATAAGCCCCTTCCAATCTTCTGTCTCAGACTGCGCTAATGGAGTTGGCGTGTTCCCCAGAGGTGAATTCCTCCCCTGTTCTCCTCCTGGCAGGACTTGTTTGGTCGACTGTCTTCTCTAATGAGAACATCTATCCGCCTTTGCAGCTTGCTGATTGCCTTTGCAGATTGTTTGTCATATCCAACTGTGAAAGGTCATCTTGAATTAATCAGATGATGTTTACAAAAGCGTGGGAGAAATAAGGAGTTTAGTATGATCTTCAGTTTCCTATTGCTACATACACCCTCTCTACAGAAAACTTGCAGCTATCATTTTGAAGTAGAAAAATGCTATGTAAATGAAGCTTGCTATTTATTTTATTTTAAAACCTTAGTGGAGCTGTGAAGGTTACCCGCCTTACTTCAGATGCCAAGGTAAAGGGCAGCATTAAATTTCGCAGTATCCCACTAAACCCAGGGCAGTGCTTAAGTGATTTTGAGACAGAAGTTTGTCATACTGCAGAATCCTTATTAACCAAGGGCATATGGATATCTCCGTAAGAGCTCTGAAAAAGTGTCTGCAAAAAAGCTGGCAACATGGTGTACTTCACTTTGACCACAAAATGAAACAAAGCCCATCCCTTCTTATCTGTTTGTAAGGATCTCAGTGAATAAGAATGAAAATCTTTGTGAGGCACTGTATCCAAAATAAGTAAGTTTGGAAAACACCGGCATAGTAAATGTTGCTTCTGAGGCATTCAGCCACAGGGCTTTTGTTATTGCTTATAGACTCTGAAATTTTAGAAATGTGAAAATATCTTAACGGAGTCCCCAGCGTTTGAGGTGATTGGTACTTAGGTATGCTGAAATTACAGTAGATGGAACTGTAGAGCAGGGACAGGCTGGTGGCCATCTCGCATGCACATGCAGGAAGGTGGGAAACTAATGGAAATCATGGACACTTTGGAGTTTTGTTTGTTAATTAAATCTGGAAAGAAGAGGTAGATCTAATTAATTAATACAACAATCTATTAATGATACAAGTAATTAATAGACCAGCAGTTACACACTTGCCTGGAGCGTGGATGGTCCTTCTGTTGTGGTATTTGGAGCAAAGATCTGGACTGGGGTCTCCGGTGTACAAGGGAGCTGTCTTAACCATCAAAGTCCTGGCATGTTCAGGGTGCTTCACAGGGCAGCTCTGTGAAGTAATAGTGTCAGGCTAAATGTAGCAGACCTGAAATGAATGTTTTATTACACGCAGGAGAATTTTAATACTGAAATGAAATTAAATTTTAAATTTGATTGTTTACATTTTCTATTTCATCTTGCATAAATACTGCAGACGTTTCTATGTTACGTACTGAGCTGGAAATGTCTTTTGTATTAAAATAGGAGGAGACTTACTTACTATTTTTTACCAATTTTTATGTTTTGGGATGCAAAAATGAAATGAGAGGTTAACGACATTAAGTCTTTCCCTTTTCAGCTTTCTTAATTTGGTCATTTTGAACAAGACTTATACGAGTTAAATAGCTTTCCTACTTCTGAAGCTCAGATGAGTATAAATGTTCAGCTTGAGTAGATGAATTATTAAAAACAATAAGGAAATTTGGATTCCTTACTTTCCCTTTAAATTTGTTGGTATTTTTGGTGCATAAAGGACCTCTGTCTTGGAGAAATGGGTCTGGCCACTCAACTATAAACTGCAATTATCTCTGAGAATTGAGATGTTATCTATACAACAGAGGAGAACATGCTTTGCATCAGCCTCCAGTTCAAACATAAGTGATCAAATGCAACCCAGATCCCTAGGATCTGAGCAGTGAAAGGTCGTCTTGTAAAAAGAGAGTGTTGTTGCTGAGGGACGAATCGCCTTGTCTTGTGGGCAAAAGCAAGCACAGGTCTACCAGCATTTTGGGCAGCTACATCTGTAGAGGTCAGATGTAATCAAAGATGATGTCCCCTGTAGGCAGCAGCATGGAAGTTAACGCAGCCTTTTTGCTCATTGGTATTTTCATCTGTCACTTACCATAATGCATGCTTACTTCCAAAGCAAGTCAACAAGATGAGAAAAAGCTTGGGCTGCTGGTACGGTGGGTGTGAGGGTGTGAGTCATGATGGAGGGACCCAGTGTAGGTCAGGCACGTGTGGAATGGCTTCTGCCTCTCGGAGGATGAGGGTGGAAGGGTGCGTGATGGAGAGCAAGGGATGAACTTTACATTTTTTGAGGAAAATGTGAGAACAAATCTCTGGAAATGGTGGTGGGGTTGAAGGTCCTTTTAGACAGAAGTGTTTTGACCAGCTGTAGCTGGAAACCCTTCAAAACTTATATTCATTAGTTTCAGAAGTGGCGTCTTTTCTGGAGTCCCAGAAAGGAGTAACTGGAAACATCCGAACCGTTAAGAGAATTAAAGAAGGAACTAGGTAGACATTGCTCGTACCCCTCTGATGGGTGGGAGTGTTTAAATAGTTTTACTTTTGTTAACCTTTTGCTAGATGACCTCAAAATATTGTGAAATTTGTATTATCCCCTTGGCACATCATTCTTCTTTTCCCCAGTCCGCCTGTACCCTATCTTCTCTGAAAAAAAGAAAGAAAAATACACTTTTTAACTTCGTAACTTTTTCTACATCGTTTGTGCT